ATGGCACATAACAACAACAACAATTGGTAGAGAAAAATATTTGGTAAACATTTTGATGCATTTTACTAATCTATTTTTAAGTCAGTTGAGATTGCTTCTAGATGAGGTGTTTGAAAAGGAAAGTTTTATTGAGACAGTATAAACTACACAACACTTGGTTAATACTGGTGAAGCAAATTTTAAGTCAGACTGCTCGAAAGATAATTCTTAAATTTGAAAGTTGTCCAGTAATTCTCAAGTGCTGTCGCAAACAAAAGTAGAAATAAATATAAAAGATGTGGGACTAAAGGCAAAGGAAGGGGGGCAGCTGAGGAAGAATAATCTTTTTAAAGCCACTGCCACAAGGGTTGTGAGGGTGGTGCAGCTTGAAGTAGGGACAGGATAGGGCATTGCTTCAATGTGTTGCTCAAAAGAAAAGTTTGCTGGGTTGGTGTTGACTCAGTGCCACCTAAAAACACTAAAATTACCCTTAATTCTTTCAGACCCCAAGTGTCTTGATTGTGGCAAAATTTGAAAAGGATCAGAATTTGGAGATCTGAACCAAGAAAACTTTGATACCAATATCTTTAGTTCAAAATTAAAAGGACCAGAAATAGAATGGTTATTTCTAAGTGACCCTTGTATTTGTATTTCCTAGCATTCAGTATGAGTTACATCTCAATGCCAAGAGAACAAAATCCTTAGCATTAGACGGATAGACAACATCATGATAGATGGAGAAAAGATTGAAACTGTCAACAACTTCATCTTCTTTGGATTCGTAATCAATACCCTTGGTACCAGCAGTCAAGAGAGGAGGAACTGTATTGCTTTGGGCAAGTCTGCTGTCAAGGACCTCTCCAGAATACTAAGGCGCAATTATGTCAATATGAAATCTTAAGGTGAGCCTGACTCAGGCCATGGTCTTTTCATTCACTTTCTGTGCATTGGAGAGCTGGACAATAAAGGACGACAGAAGAACTGGTAACTTTGAGTTGTGGTGGAGAAGAGCATTGAATATCCCATGGACTGCCAAAAGAACAAACAGGTATGTCTTGGACAAAGTACAGAGTGCTCCTTGGAGGTAAAGATGAAAAAGCTATGTTTTATAGTTGGGGCATGTTGCTTCGAGTGGGAAACATCATGCTTGGAAAGGTGGATGGTGGGTACAGCATCAAAATATGTTAGAAATGATGAGGATTGCACAGGGTAATACAGTGATCAGATCTGTTTGTTGCTCATCAGGTTGCTGAGTCATCCTGGATGCAGTTGTTATGTGCCATTGAGTTGCCTATTACTCGTAGTGACCCTTTGTACAATAGCTGAACCCTGCCCCTGTCCTTGTCTCACAGGTTCTGACACACCTACCCCCATTATTCCAATTAACTGTGTCAGTCCATCTCATGTGCACTGTCTCGGTATTCTTCCAAACATGATGTCCTTCTCCAAAGACTAGTCCCTCCTGGCCATGTGCCCAAAGTATGTGAGACGGAGCTTCAGAATCCTTGCCTTGGTTTTACCCTCTCCAAGACAGACCTGTTTGTTCTCTTGGTGGTCTGTGGTATGTTCAAAATGCTTCTCCAGCACCCCAACTTAAAGACAAATTATTTTTGTCATCCTTAATCATTGTCCAGCTTTCAGATAAATAACAAGTAATTGCAAAGACCATGGCCTGGATCAGGTGCACCTACACTGACATTATTGCTCTTCAATACTCTGGGGAGGTCCCTTATAGCAGATTTTCCCAGTGTAATTCATCTTTTGATTTCCTGACAGCTAATGCCAAGAGTGTTAATTGTAGGTCTAAGGAAAATGATTGCTTGACTGATTAATTAGGATGTTGATTGTTCATGGATCCAAGGAAGAAGGTGAGATTGTTGATAATTTCAATCTTTTCTCCATCTATCATGATGTTGCCTACAATCGACACTCCACTGGACTCAATAACACCTAACTGTTGGAGGCTGCTAGTTCAACTTAGCTGAGGCCATTTTGTAATTCTCTGAAGCCATTTTGTAATTATCTTTTTTTTTTAATTTTTTTTATTTTTATTTTGTGTGCGTGTACCGTCAAATCAGATCTGACTGGTACAGGAGGATATTGCGCCTCCTTCTCCGGCAGAGCATCTGGTGGATTCGAACCGTGTTCCTCTGGGAATGCAGTGCAGCTTCTTGCCACTAGGCCACCAGAGCTCCCCTTTTTTGTAATTCTCTAAGGACATGTCTAGACATTTTGCCCCACCCTGGGAGGATAGATTTTGGTTTACTGGGAACGTCCTGCTAAGTTTCTGTTTACCAGATAACTTTCAGCTTAGTGGAAAATGACAAATTATTCTCCCCCATTGCGTACTTCTCCACCCATTGTGCTACTATATATACTGTGAGTGCTTTCAATAAAGAGAAGACTTGATCGGAGATTTGACTTGTCTTCCTGCTTTTGTGCCTCCTGTCCCCCCATTCTCGTTCTTCCCCTCCTAGGGTCACCATTGAAGATCCCCGCGGGCCGGGGCACCTAACAACAACAGATGAAGAGTTTCCAGTGTATGGATGTGTAGTGGAAGAGAACTTGGGTTTGGGTCACTTAATTTGCTTTAAATTCCCAGTTCCTCTTGAAAGGGAGGGAGTGATCTTTTAGCTGGCTTTTCTGGATCTTGTGGTGTCCTTCCAGTGGATTATCAGAAGCTGTAGATTACAACTTGCAGAACTCACATTTCTAGTTCTAAGTTGTTATTAAATGGAAAAATCCCAGGACATGCATTTGATAACATTACCATCTCTTCTGGTAATTTGGTTTTTTCTGGTACATACCTCCTGTGAAGCCCCCACCTTTTTTTTCTATCTTTTTTTCTTTCTGTCCCATCTATCTATCTTTTAAAATTGTTCAGTTTTTTTGTGTGTGCATACCTCTTTATGTAGACCTTAACGACTGTAAGATAAGGAAAATTTATTGCCATAGCATCAGAACTGCCTCATAGCTAAGCCTTCAGCAAGTTTTCAGAGGCTGTATATCACAGAAGATCTTATCATTCTCGCTTGAAACCGTTGACGGCTTAGAAACATTGGGCTAGCACAACTCCCTAAGCACCACACCACCAGAGCTCCTCCTAATTAAAATAATCTCGGAGTTTCTTTCTGAGACTGCTGCCCATAATGACTACAGAAAGTTTAAGCATATTTCTAGGGAGGCAGTAGTAAGAGAAAACTTGTTCTCAACACTAAACCAGAGTTACACTTCTTCTTGATGTAGGTGTGGCTTTCTCTTCTCTTGTGTTAGATCTACTTTAGTATATGCCAAACCAATGCTAGGTTTAGCTTCTCTAAAATGGATGAAGAAATGTTAAATCATATGACAGAGACTTGGAAGGAAACGATTTTTTGCAATGTATCGAATTTAAATTCTGCTTCTGCAGCAAAACCAAGAAGGGGAAGAGGTAAAGCAGAGCAAGTGGAAACAGTTTTCAGACTGCTGGTTTCCTCACGTTTTCAATTCCTTTTGGCCTTGTTTGCTTTGACTTAATACCGTATTTAGTTTCTTTAAGTGGAAACAGACCAAGATATCTACAGGATATATTATTTTTCATTAGAAATAGGGTGAAATAAAAGGTTTACATCCCTTTAGTTACTCATGCAGTTTCATCTGGAGTTGCCTCTACAACTCTAAAGACTGGATTATACATTTCCACTTTCTTATAGTATTCCTTGAAGTCTGCAAAATACACAAGATGGAAGAAAAGGCGGTGAAGTGTCCCAAAGAAGGCACCGATTTTTCTTCCTGAATGAGAACTCTGAGCTCTTCTTAGACACCATGGACAGCTCTTCAGGCGCCACTTGGTTGGCCCAGCGAGTGAACGAGTGAACGGGGAACCCAGTAGGATCCTCCCCTTCACCCGTCAGGCCCAGCGAGGGCTGCAGGGGGTGGTCCTGCCACCCATCTTGGGTACTTATCACTAGCAAAGCTTTTCCTCGAGAGCCCCTTCCTGGCGCTCCCGGATAGAGTTGGTAAAGATCCACGCTGAGAGACCAACGGAGGACTGGAACCTCACTCTTCCTGCCTCTATTCTGGTGGAACCTACAGCTGAAGCCTGAGGAACAGGCCTTGAGAAGTCTCGGCAGGTGGCCTGGCTGACACCTTGCAGGTACCAGGCCCGCAGCGCCCCCTCGCGTGGGCGGGGCCTAGCGACCTGAGGCCCCTCCCCTTCCCCCTCCAGGAGCGGGTCTTCCGCCCCCCGCCGCGGCGCAATGCGGAAGAGATGGGCCTGCTGGAGCGGAAGTGACGCTTCCGGCGGCGGCTACGGGAGGAGGAGGAGGAGCCGGAGGAAGAGGTGAGCTCCCCGGCGGGGGGCGGGGAGCGGCTGCAGCAAGACCCACCCGCCGCCCGGCTTGCAGGCGGATGTTTGTGGAGGTAGTCTCTGCCGCGGCAGCCAGGACGGGAGCGGGGCGCGGGGCCATTCCACTGAAGAGCTGGTGCAGGGGAGGGGCAGCAGTGAGGGTAGGACTGGGTGTGCGGGGCGCCGCACCGGGCCAGGGGCTCTGGTGACAGCAGCTGTCAGACTGCCCGCGGGAAGGGAACGCTGAGGTTCCGGGCGCCGGGTCATGTCTTCTCATGCTTCATGGAGGGAATGGGCTACTCGGCCTCCGTTCCTTTGGAATGGAGCCACTTTCTCCGTTACCGGGTGCCCAGAACCTACGAGAAACACTAGGAATCTTATTCTTATTAGTCGTGACCGTTCCTGATGCCTATTAATGTCTACCGGCGCCTGACTGCTGTCCCTTGGAACCTGTGGTGGGCAGGAGGCGGCTGAAACCTGTGCCGCTTCCTCTGCCCTTCGCCGCCTCCCGGGGAGCTGCGGGTCAGCTAATCCTTTCCCTCCTCTCGCTCCCTTAAGGAGCTTTGAAGACGCTTGGTTAACCTTCCCTCCCGCCTCCTCTCCTTTCCCGCAAGAAACGACTTGAACTTTCCTGCTGGGTTCGATTTCAACGTAGTGACAAATCCAGAAGCAGGAAGCTGATAAACAACTCGGAATGAACTACGCTTCACGTTTTCCCTTTCAATAGGCGTTAAACAGGAAACTCATCTTAACCAAACCATTGGTAGACTTAAAATGATAAAACCTTGGCTTGCTTTGCCATGAGAATTGGTTTCCTCTTTCTTTATAGTAAAATCAAGTGGCGACTTAATTTTGGAATAATCCATTCTTTCCCTCAGCTTCTCCCCCCCCCCCCCAATTCCTTTCCTACCCCATCCCTCCCATCCAAACATGGCAGGGAGGGATCTTTGGATGCCTTGTAGTCAACGCTGCAGAAGCAAACATTAGCTTCATTTGCTTACTTTTTCTGGGTTTTTCACAGGGCTGCCTCTGAAGAAAGGAGAATGGCGTTCAGCAAAGGATTTCGAATCTATCACAAATTGGATCCCCCACCTTTTAGTCTCATAGTGGAAACTAGGCATAAAGAAGAATGTCTCATGTTCGAGTCGGGAGCTGTGGCCGTGCTCTGTAAGTCTCTTGTAGCTCAAATGATTGACCATTGACTCCCCTGATTTGATTGGTAACAATTAAAATGCAACCTTTTTTAAAAAAACAAACAAACAACCTTACTGTGTTTAGTCCAGCTAGTTGTGCTTTTATTTCTTTTTCATCAAACCTTGTTTTCTTATAAACGTCATCTGCAGGGTTTTATCTTTAGTTTACAGAGGGATTAGCTGCTTTCCATTATTGTTTTCTGGGGTTGTCAGGGCTAGGGATGATGTCAGGACTAGAAGGAGAATTGTTACCTTTGAGCTGTGGTGCTGGAGAGGAGTACTGAATATACCATGGACTGCTTGGAGAACAAATAGGTTCAACCTGGAGAAGGTGAAGGCAGGCTGCTCCTTGGAGGCAAGGATTATGAAGCTCCATCTGACATACTTTGGGCATGTTGCCAGGAGGAACTAATACTTGCAGAGGGACATCATACTTGGGAGGTTGGAAGGACAGCACAAGAGAGGAAACCGCAGCACAAGATATGGATTGACTCAGTCACTAGGGTAATGGAGGTAGGTGTGTCAGACAAAATGAGATTGACTTAGTATACAACAGGGTTTAGAGCTGTTGTACATAGGGTTGCTATGAGTCCAAATTGACTCGATGGCACATAATAACATGCTTTTTCTAGAACTATACCTCTTTTTTTCTTCCCCTTAGAAATTGCACTAGAAGAAAAAAGCATTAGAGTTTATATCATATCATATGTATATTCATAATGTAGCTTGATTGACATTTTTACTGTGATGAATGAAATTTATTTTAAGTTAGTTGTAGCAATAGAATACTTTCTTGTCAGATATTATTGGAGATTCTTTTTGTCTAGCCCTTATATTTTTGTTAGAATGAATATAAACTTCTAGAATTTAAATAAAATCAGATTAAATTTAATTTTATTTTAAAAGTTACTTCTGCAGAAAAAAATTCCTGTGCTACAGGATAAAAATGATAGAATTGTATGGTTTGGATTATTTTGCGAGACAGGAAGCTAAAAATGAAAATATTAATTTAGATCTTAACATTTTAAAAAATATAAAGATGTGTAAGGGAGCTTTGGTGGCTTAGTTAGTGGTAAGGAGTTGTGCTATCAGCCCAAAGGCAGGTAATTCAAATTCGCCAGCTGCTCCTCAAGGGAAAGATTGGCAGTCTCCTATACCTCTGAAAACCCACTAGAGGGTAAGCTATGAGTGGCTTGCTTCTGATTTGATGGCACATATCAGCAAGAACAACATAGACATGTAACTTAAGCTTGGAGTTATTTCAAATCTATTTGTATGTTTTTTGAGGCTTTCTGATTTTTAACACGTGTTCTTGTTATCTGAAGATCAATATAGTTACTGGTCATGTTTTTATAAATCAGTAGTGCTTTATGGAAGGCATGTTTATAAGCCTTTAAATATTTTAAAGTAATGAGCTTTCTCTAAGCTCACTAAGTGAAATGCTGATTTCACACTCTAGCCTTTGCATATAAGATATTGTTAATCTAATCTTAATGCTCTAAAATAAAACTCCAAATCCAAACTGAATGCCATTGAATTGAGTGGACTCACCGCAACCCTCCATCAGATGTTTGAGGCTATCTTTCTGAGGAGCAACTGGAAGATTTGAACTGCCACCCTTTTGGTTAACTGCCCAACATGTTTTGCAGTATAGTAGAAATCTTTTCCTGTTTTTAGGGAAAAGAAAACTGATGTAATGAAAAATCCTGAACAAAGAGTGTAGAATTTGTAGTGTTTAGTATGTATAGTAAGATGACTTGAGTAAAGTGAAGGAGTTATAAGTGTTCTGAGACACAGATGCTGCACTTTTTATTCAATCATGATGGACTTAATTGCTTAGGACTGTTCTTAAGTAAGCCCAAATGTAACTTACTATCATATTAATTGACATAGCATATTTTTCCATTCTGGAAAGGTAATTCTTAAACTGTTGATTCTTAATTAAAAATATGTAGAGGGCAAAGATTTGGTTGATTGCTGTGAACTGCTTTTGTTTTTTTAGTAACATTACACAGTTCACTAAATCTTGTCTAAATTGTAGCAGTTTTTTTAATTGTGGTTACTGGTAAATGGGAAGTCACTATTTCAGCTACAACATATGTATGTAAATCCTTTAAGTGTTTAGGCTTCTCAGTATACATTATTCCAAGGGCAAGAAATCTAAGAATATTTCCCATTCTTCAGCAGCCATCTTTTCTGATACGTATTTTTTGTAAAAAGGCTTCAAATGCCCATTTTATAGTTAGTATTTTAAAAGACTATAAAAACACTGTCTTAATGATGTATTAATTTTATTTTCATTAAAGACTTAGACTGTATATCTAATTCTTTCAGGAGGAAAAAAGTTAAATAAGAGATTATATATCATTTTAAAACCGGTGCTTTTAAAAGAATGTCTTTTGTACTCAGGGAACCATAATAAGAAAATACTCAGTTCTCTTTCTCTTCAGCAGTTCCATTCTCTGAATATCAGTGCATCCTTTATTTGAACCTACCAGAAGACTCTTAAACCTAAGTGCAACCCCTTTTTCATTAAGATTAAATTCAAACCTATCCAACCTGTCAGTCAACCTCATAGCTAGATGGTGAATGTGATTCAGCGAGGCTCAGTCTTCATATAGTAATATTCTGTAATGTTGGACACTAGGTATATGCATCCAACAGAAAATAAATCTGCTGGTTTTTTAGCAAATCATTAGACACTGATATGGGCATTTGGACATTTAAGCTAAGTTAGATAGTATTAGAAGTAAAATAGAAATAATGTTGTTGTTGTTGTTGCTGTTGTTATGTGCCGTCGAGTCGTTTCCGTGCTCTATCCTGTGCCAATCTCATTGCCTTTGACACACCCATCCCGATTACCCCAGTCACTGAATCAGTCCACCTCATAGAGGGTCATCCCCTCCTATGCTGTCCCTCTACTCTACCCAGCATGATGTCCCTCTCTAAAGACCTGTCTCTCCTTATAACATGTCCAAAGTATGTCAGACGA